AACAATGCTTTCCCCCCCAATACAATATGATAAATAGAATTAATAACGTTGCTAAAATAAGATCCAGCCAACACGGCTAAAAATACAATCTCCCCATAAAATGTTCTTGGCTCCTGAACAATGTGGAGCAACGGAGTACAAATTGAAATTGTTTATTTGTGTCTATTCAGTAACGTTCCTTCCATCATAAATGGATTTGTCAAACATCATTAGCCTTGCCCTTTCAAACCAAAACCAACAAAACTTTTATTTGATTCAGCGGCTGCATATTCTTGGACCCTCACTAAAGCACAGCATTATGAGGACTGCTGAATTTCCATTTGGACATCTTCACGTGCCTTTGTGTTTGCCCCTCCTGATGTTAACGTCTGCATTCTTCTGAGGTAGGGGCCTTCAAACCTAGCAACTTTAAGACCTGTGGGCTTCAACTCCCAGAATTCCTCAGCCAGCTGAAGCCCACGAGTCTTAAAGTTGCCAAGTTTGGGGACTCCCGTTTTAAGGTCATCTTTGGTCCAGCTCCTTCTTGCAAGCTGATTACTGAGCAGGCATTGGGTTTGCAAGCGTAGACCCCAAGATTGACACATTTCTTCAGGATGTGTCAATACAGGTAGCCCTCAAATTACCACCACAACTGAGCCCAGATTTTTTGTTGCTAAGCAAGAAGTTGTTAAGTGGGTTTTGACCCAATTTACGACCTTCTTTGCTCTGGTTGTTAAATGAATCACTGTGGTTGTTAAGTTAGTAACACGGTTGTTAAGTGAATCTGGCTTCCGCACTGACTTTGCTCGTCAGAAGGACACAAAAGGGGAACACGTGACCCCCCCAGGACGCTGCAACTGTCATAAATATGAGTCAGTTGCCCGGCGTTTCAATTTTGATCACATTCCCATGTGTGCAATGGTCATAAGTGTGAAAAACAGTCATAAGTCATGTTTTTCGGAGCTATTGTAACTTTGAATGGTCCCTGAATAAACTGTTGTAACTTGGGGACTATTTGTAAAGTCAAGATGGTTTCCCCAATGGGATGGTCAAAGTTCTTTCTGTTTTATATCTTCATTTTTGACCGCTCCAGTTAAGAGAAATCGTCCTCTAAGTTCTGCCAAGTGCTTTATTTCATTATTCTCAAACACATCGTAGATATTTTTATTCCCTTTTCTTTTTCAAGTACAAGTTTATCTGTTTAACACAAATAGATACAATGGGGAGTAAGTTAATCCTATTAGTTCCTGAAGATCCCCAGCTACAATGGAAGATTAGGGCTAATCTTGGTGATTGTTATTATGTTGTTTTATTCTATTGGTTTTTATGCCTACCTTTTACTCATATGTATCTACGTTAGGTGAATATATTGCTCTAGAGGTAGTCCTTGAATTACACCCATTCGTTTAGCCACGGTTCAAAGTTACAACGGTACTGAGACAGGTGATTTAGGACCAGTCCTTGTCCTAACAACCGCAATTCCATCCACAGACACAGCGAGCAACAACCAGCCTACAAACCCCTCAGAATCCAAATTAACCACACAACTGACCAGAGACAACACTGGCCTTCAACCATCCCAGACAGTTCAGAAACCAACCCACAAGCTCAGAGAATGAACTTCCACCCTCATCCTAACAACCGTCTCAGCATCTTCAAGGTCACGTGATTAAAATTTGGGTGTTTGGCAACTAGCATCTATTTAGGATGGTTGCAGTATCTTGGGTCACATGACTGCTGATTACGACCTCCCAGCTGGCTTCTAACAAGCCAGGTCAACGGAGGGAAGTCAACCATGCTGGCTGGGGAATTCTGGGAGTCGAAGTCCAGGGTCTCAAAGTTGTCAAATCCAAGGGCTTAAACAAAGAAGCAGAAGCACCATGAATTCTCGACTTAAGAAGTCTCCTCCTAAATATTCTAAAGCATCTTTACCTCTGTAAACTAAAGAATTTCAGCCTTCGGATCCCATTCGTGGGGTTTGCTCCGCAGTTTTGCACGGAGCTTTTCCTGGAAACCTGCATTCTGTTCATGCTCCACAGGTTTTTCAAGGATACATCATGCCTCTCCTCTCTCCACAGACACATCCTGCTGTGTACAGTTTCATGCACTCACCAAGTCTCCGCGGGTCTTTTGCACGGAGGAAAGGTAAAAAGTTCACCCTGCCAGCTCTGTCTCTTTCGCACTGATAAGCAGCTTTTCAGCTATCAAAATTGGTGAATCTTTTGGCACATCATCAACAGAAATCTTTCCAAACATCAGAGAAGGGGGGGGTGAGATGGAGAATTTAGTGTTATGCCCAGCGTAAAGTTCCAAATCAGCCCACTAGTTTATTGAGGAGGAGGAGGAGGAAGAGGAAGAAGAGGAGACAGTGGATGGTCTCCATCAGAGTGGTGAATGGGGTACCCTTGGAAGACCAAGTTAGTGGAGATTGTCCTGGAAATAGCTTAGTTAATATCTTAGTTCAGAATTGCACTCCTCTTGTTTGCAATATATATATATATATATGTATGTATGTATGTATGTATGTATGTATGTATGTATGTATGTATATATCTTCCATTGGAAATGCATCCAAGCAAAATAAAAATAGAAAAGAAAAGAAGCGGGGGGGGGGGGGAGAGAGAGAGAAAGAAAATCATAAAAATCTTTCGCTGTGGCTGCCTGAGGCGTATTTTAGTATTTGGTTGGTTGCCAAGCTCAATTTATTTCACTGTTTCACTTTTAATCGCTCACTTAGTTGAACGTAAGTAAAAACACACACAGAGTTTGTTTTCGGGGTAGTTTCCTCGCCGCTGCTTCAGTCTAAATATATTGCTAACAGCCTCAAAAGCTGTAATAATTTGCTTTGAATTCTGCAGGAGCGAGAGAAATTTCTCCTCCTTCGTTTTCACAGAACTGGGTACCACAGTGTGGCTTAGAACCACACACAGCCTGAAGGCAAGACAAGTTTTTTTCCTAGGAAAAAGTTTTTAAAACAACAACAACAAAAAAAAAACAACAACAATCCTCCGGCAAGGCTTTTATTTCTAAAATACAAATAGTCAAGAGTTCAAACTCATTTGCAAGCCAAAACGCTGAATGAAAAGATCCTGTGGATTAGCTGGTTAAAAAGAAGAAGAGAAAAAAAAGTGGTCCAGAACCATTCAACTCTATAAGCACTCAGAAAAGCTACTCTTTGATTTGAAAAAAATCAACTTTCAACACAGAATCGGTTTCAACTTGAGAGATGATTCTTTTTCATTGGTCTGTACAGAATAACAGAATAATGTAGTTGGAAGGGACCTTGGAGGTCATCTAGTCCAACCCCGTGCTCAAGCAGGAGACCATTTCAGACAAATGGCTGTCCAGTCTCTTCTTAAAACCTTCCAGTGTTGGAGCATTCACAACTTCTGGAGGCAGGTCGTTCCACTGGTTAATTGTTCTCACTGTCAGGAAATTTCTCCTTAGTTCCAGGTTGCTTCTCTCCTTGTCTAGTTTCCATCCATTGTTTCTGGTCCTGGCTTCAGGTGCTTTGGAGACTAGGTTGACCCCCCCCCTCTTCTTTTTGGCAGCCCCTCAAATATTGGAACACAGCTATCATGTCACCCCTAGGGTTAGTAGAAATAGCGCTCAACTTACAACTATTTACTGACCATTTGAAGATACAACAGCGCTGAAAAAAGAGAATTACGTCTGTTCTTTGCACTGAAGGCCATCTCAGCATCTGCAAGGTCACGTGATCGTTTTCAGAAGGAGCCGTTTTAAGCAATTCTAGCCACAAAAAGGAGGATATGGCTGTAACAAAGCCCCTCTACTTATTGACAGAACATCTGTTGGTATTTAAAAGAAGGCTTTCTTGGGCATGTGAAGTAAGATATTTTACACTTATGCCCTCAGGAGCTAGAGAAGTGTGGTCAGTGCTGGAAATAATAGGTTTCCTGTCTCAAAACGTGGAAGAAGAAAAAAAGAGAGGGAGAAAAAAAAACCTGCAACCCCAAAACAGAACATTATCTATCCTCCCCTCCCAAAGCGCATCGTTTGCTCCAAGTCTACTATTAGATTACTCCCCTTGTTAGGCAGTGCTTCCTGCCACTTACCGTCCAATCTAATTCATCCAGAGAGGGAGGATTGTAAAGATCAGCACTGGGAAAGACGTACCTGAGTGTGCAACATGTAGTGCACATGTGTTCTTCTGCATGTTATGTAAAAGACAGCCGGCCATATTTAAAGCTGTGTCACTACCAGCAGGTATCTTTAGTTCAATTGAATATATATTTCATTTAGGGAGTTCTTGATGTTCTCTGAGATTGGCTGTTTGATTGCAGACGTTTCACGACCCAGCTAGGTAGCCTCATCCATTTGTGAGATGGGCGGCTCTGCATGTATGATGGATAAATAAAAGGATAAAAATAAATGATAGGCAGGGAGCTGGGTTAGTCTAAGTAGGGTATCTGGATGCGCAAAGGAGGAACTGGGCAAAATCTGCAGCATCAGATCGGCGTGGCATAATGGGAGCTGCGACAGGTGAAAGGTTTTGCTAATGAATAAACTGAGGCGCCTGGCTAGACCGCGAGTTCTAGTTCTGCCTGGGGGACCTGCAGCTAGTCATTCTCTCTCAGCCCAACTCCCCTCACAGGGTTGCTTGTTGCGGGGGAAATAAGAGGAGGAAGTAGATATGTTTGCTGCTTTTAGTTATTTGTAAAAATAATGGCATGATATAAATAAACATATGCAAATGTCAATTGGAAAACGTGTTTCTCCTTTTTTTTTTTTTTTTTTTTAAAAAAAAGCTTTTTGCAGGGAGGGGACAAAGCACTTCCAAACCTTTTTTTTTTTTCTCAACATGGCCTACCTCAAAGGGCTGGCGTTATGTTTGCCTTCCCTTCCATATGCACATTGCTGGGAGGAGGACGAGGGCCCCTTCTGTTTCCTCAGCCTGCTTGCATGCCTCCCTCCCTCCCTCCCTTCGACGACAAGTCCCATCCTCCTCTACCTGGGGAACATGGGTCCGGCGCAGGGAGCTCCGCGAAGGCGCGCCTGGCTGCTTTAAACCAGGCTGGGAGAACCGGAAGTGGAGCTTCCGGACTGCAACTCCCGGCCTGCCTCGTCGCCCTCCTGCCGCGCAAGGGTTTCTGGGAGTTGTAGTTGGCTTGCGGCCGAATGGCCGCGCAGCCCGCCAGCAGGACGGGGAGACAGGAGGGCCTCGCTTCTTTCCAAGGTAGACTGCCTCTGGATGGGGAAATTGCAGACCATGCCCGGCCCTCTCCCAGCGCCCCAGGGAGGGTCCTTGATCCAAATCAAACGGGAAGGGTTGTTGCAAAGCTTCGCCTTGGCCTTCGGTCCGCTTTCTTTGCAAAAGTCAACCGTGCAAAATCTCATCCTTTCTCCGCCCCAGAATTGCACTTTTGCCTATTGAAGCATCGGATGGGAAAGTCTTCCCAGCAGGCAAGGGCCCCGGGCCAGCCGCGGGCGTTGCAAGGTTCCTTTTTGCAGCTTGTAAAGAGGAGGGGGAGGAAGAGGAAGAGGAGGAGATGGAAAAGAGGAGGAGGAGGAAGAGGGGAAAATGAAGAGGAGGAGGAGGGGGAGATGGAGGAGGAGAAGGAAGTGGAGGGGGAAAACGAAGAGGAGGAGATGGAAGAGAAGGAGAAGGAAGAGAAGGAGGAGGTTCTAGGTGGTGTCACTTTGCCCCTTACCCTTCCCATTGGGCATGCTGGCTGAAGCCTGAGTTCAGCCACATTGGCCTGGCCGTATCCTGACCCTCTGTGCCACAAGCGTGCCACGAGACTTCTAAGTGCAGAGAGTCCACCCTATGCAGATAGTCCTCAAGTTACAACCATTCATTTGGGGATTGGTCGAAGTTACAACGGCTTTGAAAAAAGTGACTTACAACCAATCCTCACCCTTACGACTGTTGCGTCTTCCCAATGCTCACATGATTAAAATCCGGGCACTTGGCAACTGGCATGTACTTAAGACAGTTGCAGCATCCCAGGGTCATGCGATCGTCATTTGCAACTTTCCTAGCCGGCTTCCAATAAAGTCAAGGGGAGGAGAACTGGACTCTCTTAACAACCGTATGCTTCCCTTAACAACTCTGTGATTTGCTTATCAGCCGTAGCCCAAAAAATCATAAAAATGGGATGTGACTCACATGCTTAGCAAAGGAAATTGTGGTCTCCATTGCCGTCGCGAGTTCAAGAGTATCTGTACTTAATTCTGACTTTATTCTTTTTTTGGCGCAGAGAGGAGAGGATCCAGGAGAGAATCACCCTGCAGGAAAATAAAGTTTGCCTGCCTCTCCTTCCGACAACCTTACGCCGGGCTGGTTTTGAATGACGTCAAAACCATCGAGAGCCGTTGGCGCCCAGTGCTGGCAAACCACCAGGGTGGGACGGTGGCCGTCCACATCGCGTTTAGAGACTGGGAAGATGACAGCTGGAGAGACCTCCTCTTGAACAGACTTGGGTGGACTTCGGCTCAGATTGAAGATTTGTTAGCGGAGGGGGAGAAGTTAGGCCGAGGGGTTATCGCTGGTACGACCTGTCTCTTCAACCAAGCCGGGGTAGCAGCCAGATTCACGCTGTTACGGGGTGGCCCAGCATGGTTTCTTTGGTTCTTGGCCTAGGACTTTGCAGGAGCCCAGCTCTTGGGTCTTGCAAACCATGGCTGGTGACTTTTTATACTTCTAAACCCAGCATTGTTGCTGGTTTGCAAAAGTATGGTTGACTTAATACCATAGATTAATGTTTGTCAGCCTTGTCACCTTTATGATGGATGGACATCAGCTCCCAGAATTCCCCCAGCCAGCTATGCTGGCTGGGCGAATTCTGGGAGTTGAAGTCCACCCACCCTAAAGGGCTGGCTGGAGAATTTTGGCCCAAATCTCCCTAAAAATCACTAAATCTTACCAAGTTTTGGTATTTCCCCACCCCTGAAATTTTAAAGGGCTCGTCAAGAAAAGTACCCAAACCTCACAAGATCTCATGTATACCCCAAAGCCTATAAGGCTGGGTAAATTTGCAAGATTTGGGCTATTTTATTTTTGTGCCCTGACAGCTTGCACCCACGGAACCACAGACTAGCCTAAGAATTTACTAGCAAACCACGATGGAACGCAACATATAAAGCTGGCCACGGTTGTTGCAAGTATGTTTTTCTACGTGTTCTAAGCTTGTCAAGAATCGCCTCACAAAGAGGCGATCCTAGGTCACAGCAGAAATTTCTTGGGGCGCAAAGAGAAAATTATCTGCTGTGAACCCCCCCCCCCATAGGCATCAGGAAGGGCATTCGGCCAGCAAACGCTCAGCTCCATTCAGTGACCCTGACTCCAGACACACACACACTCACACACACAAACACACACACACGGTACAAGGGATTGCAGGATCGTTAAAAGAATATAAGAGGAAAAGAAGAGGAAAAAGAAATAATTTTCTTTGGGGAAAAAAAATAAATCATGTGTTTGGATCTTCCACCATAGGTCTTATTGACGTTGGGGAGACTTTTAAGTGCATGGACTGTTTGCCTCCCGAAGACATTTTGCTATTGGAAAACAAAGCTCTTCTCCGTGGTCTTGAAGGAAAATACTTGACGGAGATTTCCAACCCCAGATGGCTGCGGAGATCCATTCCTGCACGAGGACACAAGGACATGTGGGAGGTGAATATCCCAGAAGATCTGATCCCTTCCGTTGAATCCGGTTGAACTTTTCCCTCAGGACTTGCTATTCTTCTGGTGATGGGATTGAACGGAACAACTGTTCTCAGTTTCGGTCACGGCAGATTTTAACTTTTTTTTTTTAAGTTTATTATTTTTTTAACAGAGTTCAATAATCATTATTCAACAAAAGCGTGTTGTCTGAGTATCTTATTCACTAATAGAAATTAAATTCCTAATCCCTAAATCTTTGATAAAATAGGTCCCAAGTTTGAAAATATTCTGTTTCTTCTTTTTCTTTCAACCTTAAAGTAAGTCTGTCCATTTCCGCACAGTCTAATTTTTTATTATTATTTCTTCTTCTGGAGGTATTTCTTCGTTCTTCCACAAATTTTAACTCTTGTGTTCAGAACTGCTGTGCGATTCCTCATCGTTGGACTTGGGATAAATTCAGTCTCCAGGGAATTCTGCACTGTTCCAAAGGTGTTATTATTGGATGCCATCAAGCTGAAGTTCATTTCATTAGAAGTACTGGCTTTTTTTTTTAATTGTAAAACATGTTTTTCTCTTCCTCCACGCATACATTATCCAGTAACATACATTTTCGTCGCATAAATGAGGTGATCTGCTTTGAAGCATTTCATTATTCACATTTTTAGATTTCAAATCATTAGCACGCAATAGGATTACAGGAATTCTCCTGGCCAAATTTAATGGTCCTTGACTTAAGATCAATCACTTAGCAAAGTTACGATGGATCCGCTCCAAAAGGTACTTAATCCAGTTCTGTAGTCACATAACCACATTTTGGGCTCTTCACAATTGCATTTATCATTGTTACAGCGTCCTGCAGTCACAACGACCACAATTACAGTTGTAAGTTGAGGACTATTTCTCATGCTCCCTCCCTGCTCCCGCCACCTTTACCAGAGAAGCCTACAAACAAAATCACACCCAAGGAGGAGAAATTTGTGGCCTTCCAGAATTGTTGACCTCCCAAATCCCTGCATTCCTACAGGCTACGTCATCTGGGAAGTCTTTCAGACATGTTTGTAGGACCTCAAGTTCTCCAACTCTGGTCCTGGGCATGCTTACGATGAAAGAGTCATTTTTTCCCCATACATTTAAGAGAAGCAATGGAGCCTCCAAAACCTATGCCATTAATGCTGATTGTGTACTATTTTTCTATCTAATGGAAGCCCATTCCTCAAAAAGCTAGACGTTCCACCCTCTCTCTTTGTGTGGTTTCATGCCCTATTTTTAATATGTGCTTCTATAGTGTCTATGTAAACTCTTGAAAGCAATGAGAGAATTTGGCAGCGTTGAGGGAATTTTTCAAGTCTGAACAAATTAGTCTGAATCTACAATTTTAAAATATTCCCCTAGTGCCTTAAATTACAGGGCTCTGCAGCTCTCAAATCGGTGAGTTTGAAAGGAGGTTTCAGCAACTTAGGCAATTCAGATGTAAATATGACAATTTGACTTTTTTCCTTGCTATCCCACTTGTGAAGGATTTAACAGAACCATTGTTCTCAATTTAGATCACAATAAATTTAACGGCACATTTAGGACTGCCATGTCACTCCTTATCATTGGATGTGGGATAAATGCAGTATCCAGAGAATTCTAAAAAAAAAAAAAAAAAACTTAGATGGCATAAAGCTGAAGTTCATTTAATTAAAAGCACTGATTTTTTTTTAAACATTTTTCTCTTTCTCCGTGCATACATTATCCAGTAACCTACATTCTCGTTGCATAAATGAGGTGATCTGCTTTGAAGCATTTCATTATTCACATTTTAGATCTCAAATCGTCAGCGTACCATGTTACTACAGGATTCTTTTTGCCCAAATTTAACGTTACTGAACTTTGTGGCACCATGTTGAGTAAAAGCAAATACTTTGGGTAACAAATCTGAGGCTGTTGATAAAATGAACTCCTGCTTGGTTAATACATAGCTGAAAATTATGAAAATAGCTGAAATCTCTTTAAGAAGACAAATGTTAATCAAAAAATATGAGAACCGCCCCACAGTTTATAAATAATGTGTCAGAGATGACTTCCCATCCAAACTAAATATTTGCTAGGATTACAGTACAAGGTTTTCTTAGCTTACATCCTGCAGTTCTTGATGTTAATTTTTGTCTAGCATTTTTATTAAAGGAATAAAGTTCAAATTTGCAATATCCATGAATATCAAAAGAAATGTGTTTTAGGAAAGCAAAGCAAACCCAGAATCATGTAGATGTTTTAGCCAATTTAAATACATTTAGAGTAAAGTGTGCTTCTGGCTACTCAAAGTATTAATTTGCTGTATTAAAAAAAGAAAGAGAAATCAAATAAACTGAACAGAAGAAACAAGATGAGCATTATTAAAAATCAGTCAATAACTTGCAACGTAAGTCGTCATCTTGACTTCACCAGATCTTCAAAGTTGATGAAGCCCAGATCCAAGCTGAGAATTTATAAATATTATACAGGAAGGTCACAATAGCAACAAATTAAAATGTATTGATGAATTCGCTGTTGGTCCTTTGACTACGTATCTTCCCATTGTTTTGTCCTTCGCTAGATTCAATAAACTTTTGCCCCCCCCCCCCACCTTTTAGAAAATGCGAACAAGATCTAGGTACACAATAAAAAAATCTCACAATTCAGCCATGTTTTCTTGAACCAATCACTCTCCCTTAAGCATCAAGGTCAAAATCTGTTCAGGTAATTGTCTTCTCGTTGCGTAAACCCACGGAGATCTCAGTAGACTGAACAGATTCGTAGTAACAACTTAGGAAGGGGTTAACTTTTAGTGTTTCTCAACCTTGCCCCCTTGAAGATGCGTGGACTTCAACACACAGAATTCCTCACATCGTCAAGGGGTCAAGACTGAGAAACACACTTTTATTCTCTAGGATACCTACCTTGAGAATCGGGAGGGCAACGCCCCCAAGACAATGACAATGACAACACACAGGTCATTGTGACTCACCCACTATAACACCATGTCACACATTGTTCCCAGAATCAACCTTTGCAAGCATCCTTCACTCTTCTTTCCTTTCCAAGTTCTGGTGCCATGACCAATTCTCTAGATTTTTAACCGGTTAAATGATCTCCTCTGCAGATTTTAAAAACCCTTCGATGTCCCGTGAGCTATTTACATCAAATTGTTCCTAACCACAATTGGCCAACTTCAAAATGTTGCCTGCAGAGGCCAAGAACTCTAAAATGGATTTTGTTGAGGAAAAAAAACAACAACCTGTGGCAACAAAAATGGGAAGCTATTAATCCAAACCTAGGCAATTACTTCCCTAGCTACTTCTCCCCAATTTATACATTTAACAAGGAAACCTTTGAGGGGAACATCCTTCTTGTGTTATCCATGATGAAAGAAATACAAAGAAGTTAACCTAGGTAAACCAGACAGGAAGAACAAAAGTTTATTCTTCAGTCCACGCCATGGTTGAATTCCCTTATTTTTAAGTAGATTCGAAATGTCTCCAGCCTTCTCCTGTCCTTTTTTTTTACCGATGGTACCCAGCATATTCTGCCGTTTTGGGTCCAGCTCCTTTGGAAGCGGACGGGGTATTGGACATACAGTTGCAGTTGGGACAATGGTGGTAGGAAGGAGTTCGGAGGTGATGGGAAGACCTGGACATGGAAATGGCCGAAGCGGCTGCTATCATCGGCATGGAGAACCACGGATTGCAAAAAGGGAGGATGCTGGCCCAGTGAGCTTGCATGGCTGATAAGTCTGGATACATGGTTGGGAAGGTGGGCAGCCCCATCATTGGCGCAAAGGGACTGTTGGGGACAGGCGGGATGACGTGATACAAAGAGGTAGCCGAGGTGGTAGTGGTGGAATCGATCTCGTGGGTGTTGACTCGAGCATGGCTGGGGTGCTGGGGTAAGTGGAAAGGAGCCAGCTGGTTGATCTTGTTCTCAGTGTCTTCAGGTGACCCCTGATCTGAAGACTTCAAAGGACTTGGAGAAACAGCAAACCCACTTCTCAGACGACCTACCGTTCCAGCCAGGCCTTTGGTCACGGGTGGCTTCCGGAGAGCAGATTTGTGCATCTTGTCCTTGGGAGAAGTTGTAAGGAAACTATTTTCCCTGGAAGACGATCCCAGAGAAGGTGGACCTTCTGGGCTTCTGGATCTGCTCTTCAAGCAGATTTCGCCAAAGTCTTCCTCTAGGGAGAAAGCCATGGGTGGCATGTTTTTGATTCCAACTCTTCGCTTGCACCTCGCAAGTAGGTGAGGGCATCCTCTCTTGAAATTGGGGTTATGGTAGAACTGGAGCTAGAATGGGGGGGAAAAAGTGGGAAGTGGTTAATCTTCTGAGGAGGAATCAAAAGCTGAGACATTTCTCATTTCTCGATGTTTACCTCTGACCCTGAATATCAATGGTCTAGAATAGATCAGGGGTAGGCAACCTTGGCTCTTTTATGACTTGTGGACTTCAACTCCCAGAATTCCTGAGCCAGCATTGCCTACCCCTGGTCTAGATGGAGCAAAGTGGTTTGCGTGTATTTTTTCGTGATTTATAATGGTCCATTTACAGTCCTTCTCATGAATACGAGGGGATATTGTAGCCCAGAGAATATCATGGGCCTACAGTTAGTGGTGTTGCCCAAACGTTTGGAGAGCAGCTCATAATATTAAAAGACAGGGCAAGTGCTGCCTGCAGAATGAAGGAGGACTTGGGGGACCAGCTAAAAGCCACTGAATTGTCTGCTAGATGGAAAATTATGCATTTCACCTACATGAGCCACTTCAAAAATGAAATAGTCAAAACAAGACAGGAGGCACCTGTCCTGATGTTGCCCCCATCCAGTGTCCTGTATCATAGGAATAATTGTGCACCAGGATATTGAATACTGAAGATGAATTATACTGCTACAATTGCGGTGCAATATAAAACAACGTTTTTTTATGTTTGCTTTACAAGCTCTAATTGCAACAAGAGTCTGCTTGAAATACACTTGTCCAACTTACTGCTTTTCTACAAAACTAGCATCAAACAGTTGTCTGAATAGCTTAGCAGAATTGGCTCATTCAAGTATCTGCTCTTGCTTTACTGAAATAAACCATCTTTATAGTGGCTTAATGCTAACGATTCACAGGCTGCAATAATCCAGCACATAAAGCCGTAGGACGCTTAGCCTTTGAAAAAGCTGTAATCTTGTGTGAATTTAGCCACAAGAAAGATGTCTAGTAGGCTGTAACAAACCTACCCTGTACAGGGAGTCCTCAGCTTATGACCTCAGCTGAGCCCAAAATTTCTGTTGCTAAGCGAATCGCTGCAGTTGGTAAATCAGTAACACGGTTGTTAAGTGAAACTAGCTTTCCCATTGTCGTTGCTTGTCAGAAGATCGGCAAAAGGGGACACCGCAACTGTCATCAATACAAGTCAGCTGCCCAGCATCTGAATTTTGATCACGTGACCACGAGGGGGGAGATACTGCAATGGTTGTACGTGTAGAAAAACAGTCATAAGTCCCTTTTTTCAGTGATGTTGTAACTTGGTCACTAAATGAACTGTTGTAAATGGAGGACTGCCTGTATTCAGTTAGCACCTTCCCCACCTTCAGTGAAACGTATTTTCTGTTTACTGGCATCGCTCTCAGGACAGGACTAGGAAACATCCCGTTCTTTTGTCAATTGATTTCATGCCATGTACAGGATTTTATTTTTTTTGAGTCACGTCCACTCCCAATTATGACAACCCTTTTTGCCACGAGCCACCGGCACGCTGTGCCCGTGGGGGAAGGAAGGCGACGGTGGTGGGCCCAGCAGGGTGGATGCAAGAGGGTGGAACCACCATGGCCGGTTTCGCAAAAGGACGGCCTGAGCCCACGCCGTGGTGGATCTACAGCAAGGTCGAACCCACGGTTAAGTGGGTTTTGCAAAAGCTGGGCCTTACCTTGCTAAAGGCGTAGGCGGCCTTTTCTTCCGCTAAAAACTCGACGAGGGAGGCCGACCGTTGGAAATTCTGCCTCATCTTGCTGAAGCCATAGAGGTTCAGCTGGCGGATGAAGCTCTTCATGCAGTCCGTCTCGAAGATGCGCAGGGGCCCTTTGCGCTCCAGCACCTCCTTCTTGAACAGCTCCTCGTCGATCACCACGCAGTGGCCCTCATCGTCCCACCAGAGGGACTTAAACTGCTCGCTTTCCACGATCTTCCAGAGCTTCTTCGGGAAAGTGAGTGAGAGGAAATCGTTGTCCTCCAGGGCGGCGGCATCCTCGCAGAGGGCCAGGCGGGGCCGCTTCGCCCAGGGACCGTCGCTCAGTGCTTGGAAGGCGTCCTCTTCGATCATGGACCTCAGGGCGAAGTCACCGGCGGCCGTTTTGTCGTGCAAGGGCGCGGAGGAGAGGGAAACGGCAGGAGGGGCCGTCTCATCTTCGTCGGAGATGGGCTGGGCTTGCAGAGGGGGAAGAGCGGCGTCCCGTTCCCTGGGATCGCCCAGGTAACTTTCAGCGGTTGCCATGTTAGGCCGCTTGTCAAACCATGCCGATAAAGGTGCCGGCAGGTCTATTAAAAAAAAGGAAAAAGCAAGAGGCTAGCCAGCAGGAGCTTCAGGAAAGAGTTCTGGAACATCACAATGCTTTTATCTGGGACGGGTGTGACCTCACACAATGGAGGCTGGTTTCCTAGCAGGCGAGATCATAATGGCAGGAAAAGAGAGAGACAGGCTCACGTGCAGCTGCACTGAAGGAGGGGAGAGGATTTTGGGGCGAGGGGAAGAGAGAGGGGGTGGGTTACAGAGCTCGCCTCAAAGTAGCCATTGAAAAAACTAACCAGCATATATATATAAATTGCACTTCGAGGCCAAGAGTGGAGAGACAGAACATGGCAAAAGATCCCACATTGTTAAAAGAGATTCTCCTGAGCAGCTGTGGACCCTGAAAAGGAAATCCAGAAGAGAAATCTGAATCTCACCTCCAAGCCAACTTTACTTAGCATTTGCTCAGAAGTTGCAAGTTTATACAGAAATAAGATTTGGGGGAATCCAAAACATACTTTTCAATGCTAAAGGGCAATTTTCCACCTAGAATGGTGTGTGTGTGTCCAACCTTGGCAACTTTAAGACTCCCAGAATGCAACCCTAAGCATAGCTAGCTGGGGAACTCTGGGAGTTGAAGTCCACAAGTCTTAAATTGCCAAGGTTGGACACCCCTGATCTAGAAACTAAGGATTCCTTGATGGATGCTGCATCAAAACAAGTGTTTTCTTCCATTAAGGGTATTGTAGTCTTTTGCAGTGAGTCGTGCAGTGTTCCCCAATCCTCATCACTACTTTTTTTTCTGTCCTCTCTTGTATATTCTCCTGCGGTGTGGTGGGACATTTTCCTAGCAGCTGCACAATGTCCTTTCTGATTCTCACATTACATTTGTGTTTCTGATCCTGATAAAAATTCTACCAAACTCTCACACCAGCAAAGTCCTCCTTCAATAGCTCTTACCTGACCCTTCCACCCCAGATATTTGAGAAGGTTAAGAGTTTGCTCACGCTTACAAACTCATTCCCGGCTGATATTTTTCAGTTTCCAAGAAAATAGGCTTGCAGAAATCCTGCAGGTGGGTATGCTTCAGACAAAAACAAAGCACTCAGCAAACTTGGGGATGCTTTATTGAACAGTGAGGATGTGAGAAATCAGGATTTGCCCAAATGTAATATTAACAAAAGTGGACATTTTTCTGAAGATCTAGCAGTCTTTCTCCCCACCCCGCCCCACCGCAAATGGTACAAAGACTGGGGCTATTTACAGGGAAATTTACATACCTCTTCCAAGGCAATTTAATCCAGCATGGAAAGTGTCAACAGTCCTACCGAAGACCCGCGTCCGAATAGTGGTAAGATTCATGGTTCAAGGGGAAAAATCGAAATGTGTGAACAGCTCGGTCTAAGGTATTTCAACCGAAAGAGAAGCTGAGAGGAACACGCAACAGCCACGCACCAGTGATGACACATTTCGTACAGCCTTTTAAAAAATACTTTTACATATTTATAATGTACAGACTCGTGTTTCCCCCCTTCCCCCCCAATATATTACACTTCCAAAAGTTCATATAAATACTATGTACAGGGGAACATGACTTCCACCAATGAGGAAGGTTCATACATCAGAAACTTCCTTTTTGGTTTCTCCAAAATACACACCCATCCACTGCAGGATGGTGTGAGCGCAAAGCCCTTCGTGGGCCTTTGTCCAGGGGGAACTGTGGACAGGAAAACTCAGGGTGGGGTGGGGGACTGTGAAACTGGATGACCAGTGGCAAACTATGACTTTGATGCTGAGAACAGAGCTCAAATCTAAGTCTGTCGTTCTGTGAAGGCAGATTCGACCGTTTCCATCGCTGAATGCTGCCAGAGTTACTGGTTTCTTCCTGCTTTTCCTGGGCCGATATTTTGCACCCAAGACGGACACTTCTCAAGGAAATGACACGAATGCAAATTCACAGTGCCAGCTGCCGAGGCCCCAATCCTTAGTTATCAACAAAGTAAGAGAAAGGCATGAATTAAAAAAAAAATATAAGAATAAGAATAAGGATTGGCCACGGATACCCAGTGGTGATTATCACATGGAGACATCTGTCCTTTCAGAGTTCGTTTTTAATCCGGCATGTCGATATTTAGTTTGGGTGGCGGTATGACGTACTTCCCGGGACTCTGCGTAATGACCACTCCGGCTTTTTTGCGAAACATCGGAGCAATTTTGGGAGCTTCCGGAACTGGAGTTTCTTCCGTTTCCTCGTTATCTTCGTAATGCAAATCGTACGAAATGTTGCCGTACTCTCTCAGGAACGGGAAGATCTCGAGGAGGAACTGGCAGAAGTCTTTGCGAACGCCGAACCACCCTGCGCAAAGGGAAGTCGTTGGCAGTCACTCACCCGTCCCATTGGAGGAGTCCCGCCTCTTCCCTCTTTGAGGGGGTCCTGGGTGGTCTCTGAGCTTGGCTTGTTTTCTTACAGCTGTTTCTTGAACTGACTAGGTAACGTCATCAGTGATGGGAAGGGGTGGGGTTTGCTTTCAGTTTATATTCTAGTGCAAAGGTGTCAAACTGCCGGCCCGTGGGCCAGATGCGTCATGCCGAAACCGTGCCCACCCCAGCCCTAGCAATAGGGAAATAGTTGTGATATGTCATGACACGTCACGTGACGTGGCAAGTTTGACACCCCTGTTCTAGTGGCTGGCCCTGTCCGTGTTGGTGGGGATGGTCTTGGAGTGTCTTTGGTTGGGCTGTTTACTGACATGGCGAGGCACTAGAATATAAACTGAGAGCAAACCCCACCCCTTACTAGCGCTGATGATGTTACCTAGACGGGTCATGAAACGTCTGCAAAGAAACCATCAAATTCAGACAGCAGCCAAGGACCCCACAGTCTTCCTCCTCCCCCTCTCTGCAAACCCCACTCCTTTCTAGCACTGATGATGTTACCTAGGTGGGTCGTGAAACATCTGCAAGAAAACCACCAAGCTCAAAGAGCACCAAGGATCTTCCACCGTTCAACCCTGAGCTACAAAGATTCTCTTTTATTTTTTCCCTTCTCTGCACTTGAATCCCAGTTGGAAGAAGGAAGCAGAGCTCTGCGGTAGATACTTACAGTGATTGCCCCCTTTCTGGCCAAACGTTGTGGCCATCAAGGTTATCAGCGAAAGCCACAGTGGAACAAAGACGGGTATGTAGGAGAAGGAGTTATGCCCATCCAGTCTGTGAACCAGCAGGATCTAAAGAGACAAATGGACAGCTTCAGGAGGGAACAGAAACCTAGCTAGTATCAAACCCTTCTTTAGCTAATCCTTGGCTTACAACTGGTTGCTTAGGGACTGTTTAAAGCTACAACCTACCGGGGAAAAAAGGGACGTAAAACCCAGATCCAAAGCTCTGAGGTCAGTTGCTCTAGGCAACTCTGCTGCATTTATAACTGTTTGCAGAGTCTCCCAGTAGTCAGGCAATCACATTTTTGTAATGGTTTTGCTGAAAACTGGCGCTGACTTTGTTTTTGGCAAAATTACCCCAGACTATCGGTTCGCTTCCAAACTGCCGTGTTCGCTTAACGACCGCTGCAAATAAAGTCATAATTCACGGGCTCCCTTGGCCCACACAAGTAGTATTGCGATATTTGGTTTCTAAAGACTTTCACGACATGCAGAGCAGGCTCGACCCCCTTTCTGCCATGTTAATCCTATTTGCAGCCGTAGGTATAACTGGGCAGTTTTTGAGAAAAGGGAGCCTATTTCAAAAGATTAAAAAGAAAAATAAATGGTTCACCTACTTCAAAGGTGAGCAACGGAACCACGATTGTCATCCAGCTGATTGCCATAGTAATGTGTGTTCTTCTTTGTTCGGCAATCACGTCCATCGAGCGTAAGAACAAGACTGACCAGACAATATAATACAGCACGACCAAACAGAGAAAGGACATCAGGATCCACAGAGGGACACAAACAACCTAGAAATTAAAACAGGGGGGAGGGAGGGGAGAGAGAGAGAGAGACAGTCACCTGTCACTCAAAAGGACTATTCATTTCCATTCTACCCATCAAATGTTCGAAAATCCAGGCTCTAGCAAGGAGTATGAATGTTTTGAAATATTTATGTGGGGTTCCTTTTAGCACTGATGTTATTAATAGGTTGGGTCATGAAACATCTGCAAGATAACAACCAAACTCAGAGAGAACCAAGGACCTCACAATCTTCCTCCTCCTCCTCTCCACAACCCCACTCCCTTCTAGCACTGATGATGTCATGAAATGTCTGCAAGAAAACCACCAAGCTCAGAGAGCACCAAGGACCCCACAGTTCAACCCTGAGCTACAAAGATTCTTTTCTATTGAAGTGTTTATTTTTGGTAGCATGCAAGGATTTCTCTTCTTTTTTTAACTTAACATTCCCTAAAACGCTTCCTACAATTTTACCTCCAGTCCCACCTACAGGCTGGATTTTCCTAGAGGAGTTATCATTCAAGTCCTAATTAGATCTTACACTGCTTAACTTCTTCAGGTGACGATGCTGATTTTCGATTCTGCAACTACGTCACCGTCTCAAAAATCTACAGTCCTGATTTTGGTGTGCCGGCTGCTACCCACCTAACCACCCTGACATTCGGAAAAGAGAATGACGTGTAATCACGGTTTACGTACAAGCCACGGCCACTTGATGATTTCGTCCAATCGGAGGGCAATAAATATGAACTGGAGTATATTGACAGAACACAGGATTTCCAGCTGGGAGAGAAGAAAAGCAAATGTGTTACAGTCAAATAGATTTTGCTGCAACCAGCAGAGCTACAAGTTACAAAGTACCTTGCAACTTAATGCAGAATACTCCAGTTGAATAAAAAGTCTGCTCTTTCTTTAATTGAGGGGAACATTCTCTCTCTCTCTCTCTCTCTCTCTCTCTCTCTCTCTCTCTCTCTCTCTCTCTCACACACACACACACACACACAAAATAATTATTCTGAATTATAAAACTTATTGTTGGGCTCCCAGGAATAGCACATGGAGTTCCTTAAGAGTAGTTTACTTTATTGTTCTTCACCTAGAGACAGAATCTTGCCAGACTAAAGCAACTATCTGTATAACTACTGATATACTCAGGGATGAGGTACAGAGGAGCTGTTTTAACCCTCCTTCTGCTGATCAAATTTTCCAAGCTGCCTCTCTACCTGCTGGGAAACCGCCCCTCTTTCCTGGGAATCCAGACCGCATTCCACCCCACCTATAGCCCAGTACTTCTAAAGATGTCACACTGCTCCAAAGGCAACACAATGCCAATCAATCTACATCTACAAAAAACAAAAACAAAAAAACCATCCACAACCTAACTAAAATTTGGGACTAGCTTTGAATTATGACTCACTCCTCCGTTTTCTAACGTGGACCGTCCTCACCTCCAGAGATCTGTCATGCCGGAAGCCCCACACACAAGCAGCCACGGAGACCGGAGACACGAAGAAGAGGGGCATGAAGACCAGCAGCCAGAAACGGGTCCCTCGCTCGATTCCATCACAGACCAGAACTTCAAACATCAGCAGGAGGAGGTGGATGCCGACGGCAATTAGCATGGCTTTGAACTCCACACACGTTTCCCCTTCTGCTCTAAAGAGTACAATTTGAGTTCTGTCAGCTCACACGTACTACAAGTTTCCCCCAATGTTTCCTGATGTTTGTTCATCACGGGTCCTGTGTGAACCTTCCAAAGAAGATTTGCAAAAAAGACTCACACAATACATTTGCAAAGCAAGCATGGGTCACTCTTACCGATATTGTGGGTTGCGGGCCCATACTCCAGTCCCCACGGAGGCCCCCACAATAACCATTAATTTCCACAGCCATATCGGAGCAAAGACTGCCCAGTAGCTCCACTCGATCTTGTTATCCAGCCGGAGAGACAGCAAAATTGAGAAGAGCAGCAGGCAGGCATAAATAAGAAATTTGCTATGGAAGGAAAAAAAAAAATAAGAGGGAAGAGATGATCAATTTCTGACATTTACCGCCTTCAGAATCATTGTGTGTAGTTTATACCTCAACAAAAAAACCCACCCACCTGAGTCATTAAGAAGAGGCGAACAGATTCCTAATAACACACTGAAACTTCTTAATTTTAAATCCCTTTCAGCAGCTTCCAGTGCGCTTTGAAATCATAATCTTAATTCTCCAGTTAACCGATGCCAAAGATATATTGTTTTAAACCAGTGTTTCTCAACCTTAGCTATTTAAGATATCTGGATTTCAACTCCCATAATTCTGGGAGTTGAAGTCCAGGCATCTGTAAATACACCAAGTTGAGAAATACTATTTTAAACTAAACCAAATAAGTTCCTACTGGGCCACAAAGCTCTTTAGGTAACATATACAGTGCTGTTTCCTGAGAACCAGGTTGTTATTCACATATGCTGAGATTGATACTAGGGATGGATAGAACCCCACACGTAGGGAACTAGCGCCTTATAAAACAAAAAGCACAGCTGTCTCGTCCCACAGGGATTCTGACATCCAGCTCTTTGTAATTCCTTACTTCAGCCACCCCAAGCTGTTTCATCTTCCCCAATGACAGCTGTGAAGTATTGCAATACACCGCAATAAAAATCAAAGCAGAAACTTTTTCAGGACTGGATACTCCCCCACCATTTTTCCATGAGGACTTCAGACAGTTTCCTTTCTGTTCCGATTATCCACAGCTCATTCGGTTCTCCAAAAATATATCTGAATTATACTGGTTATATTTGGAAAAAATAACAAAAAAACCAGATTATTATTTGGCCTGAAAGCTGAGCAAGTCAGCCTAAGCGTCTGATCCTACAAATCCTCAGTGGAATTCTGGGTATTCTACAGAAGTTTCAGATACTTTCCAATTTCTTAAAATCCAACTAAATATACAGTTAAAACAATTCATTTAGTGACCGTTCAAAGATACCACGGCACTGAGAAAAATGACTTACTACTGTTTTTCACACTTGCAACCGTTGCTGATCCCCATGATGACGTGATCAAAATTCGAACGCTTGGCAACTGATTGTACTTATGACGGTTGCAGTGTCCTGGGGGGGGGGTGTCATGTGATCACTTTTCGCAACCTTCTGACAAGCAACCTCAATGGGGAAGTTAGATTCGCTTAACAACCATGGTAACGAAGGTCGTAAAACGGGGGCTGAAACTCACTTAACAAGTGTCTTGCTTAGTGACGGACATTTTGGGATCAATTGTGGTGGTAAGTAGGGCAGTAACCAATGGAACCACCTGCCTCCAGAAGGTGAATGCTCCAGCACTGGAAGTTTTTAAGAAAAGACTGGACGGCCATTTGTCTGAAATGGTGTAGGGTTTCCTGCCTGAGCAGGGGGTTGGACTAGATGACCTCCAAGGTCCCTTCCATCTTTATTATTATTAACTGTTCCACAGGACACCAAAACGTATCTGCTAGCTCCAAAAGTGGACTTTGTGGGATGCTACACAAGACCCTGAGTGGTAAAACCACACAAACACACTCTCCTTTGATGCAGTGTTTGCCCTCCTCTCAGTTTGGAAAAAAGAAAAGACAAAATTCATTAGCAGGAATGCAGGCGGCTTCCTTCCCAGGCCTCCCACCAGGAAGCAGAGTAACACGACAGCAGCTGCCTTCAGGCTGTCATTATTCAGTCAACACAGAGCAAGGAAGATTAGGAGTTAGGAAGCCGATAGCTACGATTCAGCGGCAATTACAGATGTTCATAAAAACAAGAGTGAAGAGGGTTGCAAGGGCGACAACACGATGTGATTGGAAACGATCAGAAATGTTTGTAAGCTCAGCTGATGAGATTGTTTTGCGCGGGTTTGCTCTCCGAGCGTGCCGTTTTGCTCCTTACGATTATAGGGAAGCGATTTTTCAAGTTATTGTCCATCTCTTAGTTCTTTTATCCACTCTAGTTTCATCCCACCCAAGAATGGGATGTTTTTGGATGGCTTAATGTCTAGGATAATAATGGGCGAACCTGGTTATGTTCTTCAAGTGCAATAAAGGCAGACTGGTTAATCTGTGGGGAGCACCAGATGTATTGTCAGCTGAAACAACACTGCTGGAGAGAGGAAGGAAGGAAGGAAGGAAGGAAGGAAGGAAGGAAGGAAGGAAGGAAGGAAGGAAGGAAGGAAGGAAGGAAGGAAGGAAGGAAGGAAGGAAAATAGAGGCATTTTGAGAGTTTACAAGGTTGATACTGTAGGGAAGGAAACTGTGACTGAATCTTCCAGCTTCCAGACTGGGTAAAAGAGTTCCAATTTTGCCTTGGCAGGCTCCCCTCTGCCTTGTTTGGCTCCCCCAGAGCGATGGCAGTGACATGACTGGGAAACTTTGTTTCAAAGGGCCAAGCAAGCTCATAAGGCTCAATTTGTATTCAGTGATTTAGCTGTTCTGTAAAAAGAAGCCTGGATACAACACCCTGTTCCTAGCTTCAGAAGGCTGCAGAGGCGAGGGGTTATTCTAACGAGTGAAAATGAAGAAGGATGCAATCCACCACGGTGTGCAAGGTGCAAAGAGAAAAAGGAAGTCAATGTTTTTACCATATCCCTTTTATGAGAAAAGTCGGAATGTTTTTCCATGTGAGAATGCTCTTCCGTGTGAGAAACTAAAAAAGGGAATCAATTCTGAAAGCTCCTTCCTCCTTAGTAGACCTACTGTTTTATTTACATAGTTTCCTCTAGCCCAGGGACTTGGTGTAGAGCTCTACAAATGCTTGCTGAAACTACAGTTTTACTCTGTCAAAAGACAGTCTGCACTCCCCTCAACGCTTCAGATTCTCCCAAATCCCATCAGCCAGACCCACATCAAAATTGGTGGGTGCTACCAGTCTGACACTACTCATAAACTAATTTTTAAACCCAGGATATTATTTTTAGATTACTTTCCTAGTGCTACAGCTGTACTCTATATCCCATAGGTAAGAATGAACTTTTCCTTGTTAAAACAGATCCCCCCCCCCAATACTTAAAAACATTAGCCCTGTGGCAAGGCAAGTTTTGACTTTCCTTTTTTTATCTAATACTTAAGATTTAAAATTACAGCTCAAATAGGGCACAATAGAAGTGATAAATATTCCATTATCCAATGCAAGTCACAACAGTGGCTAGGGCAAGGGTAGGCAACCTTGGCTCTTTTATGACTTTTATGATTCCCAGAATTCCTTGAGCCAGCCATGCTGAGGGGAAAGGGAGAGGTTTCCAAGTTGAGCTATGGTGGCTCAGGAATTCTGGGAGTTGAAGTCCACGAGTCCTAAAAGAGCCAGAGTTGCCTACCCCTGGCCAGGGAATTCCAGGAGTTGGAAGTCCGCATGTTATAAATGTACTAATTGAAAACTCACAATAAAAATGAAGTCTGATCTGTATGGCATTGTTTTCTCAGTATGGGCAGATGGGTGGGTACCACTGTCAGGCTGATATCCTTCCTCCCCTGCCCTTCTCAAGATCTCCATCCCTAAGTCCAAGGAAGGATTGAGGGCATGTCTACTATGAGAGGTCTAGGACAACTCACAGTGGGCAACTTCCCGCGAGACTATCCATGTGGAACAATTCAATGAGACAGATGTTATCCGCCCGTGTTTCTTTGACATTATTTCCATTGGCAAACATGGGAATAATGTAGAAGAAACAGTGGTATTGCATTGAGTTATTCCTCATGGATTGTCCCAGAGCAAATGTGGTATTGTGAGAAGCCTTGAAGCCTAAGACCAACTTCCCTCCTAAACAATAAAGCCCCCCACTACCACAAAGATTACATTTTTTAAAATTTCATTTATTTATTAAGTGTACATGCCAACCCATCTCACGTATCCTACATTAGGGAACTCTAGGGTGGCAAAGCTATTTGCATGGTTGGGAAGACATGGGTTCAAATTCCCGGGTGCTTGTAGCATCACCTTGACCAGCTGCCCTCTCTCAGCTCCAACCTGCCTCGCAGGGTTGTTGTTGAGGGGATACAAACCAAGGGGGAGCCCCTCCCCCCGCATGCCACCCACCCTCTAGGGGGAGGCCATGAACTTCCAAAAGGAAAAAGGGGACGTTTTTCCAAAATACAATTGGCCAAGGCCAAGTCATCTGGAAGGATCCAGGTACTCTGAAGATGGCTGTGCGTTATGGGAACTGGGCTGTGGCTTATGGGGATTATAATCCAGACCTATCTCAAAGGGGTGGATCTCTTTCCCCACCCCCAAATACTGGCTGTGCCTTATGGGGATTATAATCCAAAGCTATCCCACAGGGCTAGATTTTTCGACCCCAGCCCCAAATATTGGCTTGCACTGCAAGGTCGGCTTCCCACCCCCACCGCCCCCCCTCCCAGGGCTCCCGGCTCCCCTCGCTGGCCCCGCCCCTTCCGCCAGGCCCCGCCCATTTCCGGCCTCTCCTCACCTCGGATTGAAATCTTGAAACAGGCCCCTCAGGTTCATGGCGCTCCGCCCGGCCTCGCCGCTCCTGCCGCTCGGTCACCACGGCCACATGGCGGTCCAGCCCGAAGCCTCCCGCAAAGAAACCCGGGCTCCCCGCCTCAGCTCCCGCAACCATCCGCCGCGTCCCCTCGACTCCGCGGCCGGGTCGCACTGCGGCTGCGCCGAGACCGGGCCGCGCACGCGCGGACCTCAGAAGCGGGCCCCGCCCCAACCTCTCGGCATCGAGTCTTTCCTTCCGCGCCTTCGCGCTCCGCCCCTGACGCTAGAAGAGTGACGTAGTGACGCAGCGAAGCCGTGCCCTCTTATGGGTGTGCCGGGCGGAAGTCTCTTCAAGGGCGGCTCAATTTTGTGCGAGGGCGGATTCTGACAGTGGCCAAATACGTGTCTGGAGGGTTGCTATTTATGTGGGGCAGCAGTGGGTGAATAAACTTGATTTATTGCAGAGGGGAGGCACAGACATTAAAGGAAAGAGCACTGATATGCACTGAATTCCTGGATGAAAAGGATATAAATGTACCACTGAAATGAAATAATCAGATTGCCGAGGATGTTCGAGGCAGATCCAGACAACGTGGGTTCCCCGGAGGGAAGACCCTGACTTCGTTTTGTTCGAGGGACTGATTGCATTTGTTCGCTTGACTTTTCTCTGGTATGCAAACCTGTCCATTTTATCTGCCTTTTAAGTTCGCTTTTATTGTTATTTTATTTGCCCCATGACAGTTCTGTATATCACGATTGCTCTGCGTGCTGTTGATTTAAAGGGCAAATGCATGGAATCCATCAAATGCCAACCCTTGTGAGTGGCAGCCTTCCGATCAAGCTGCTGGGCAGGACTGGTTCTTGAGGGATGAGTGCCATCTGGTGATCAACTGGTAGAAGGATCGATCGAAGAGGATCTCAGGGTTGAACTTGTGGGTTCCTTGGTGCTCTCTGAGCCTGTTGTCTTGCAGACGTTTCATTACCAAACTGGGTAATGTTATCAGTGTTAGAAGGGAGTGGGGTTTGCAGAGAGGAGGAGGAGGAGAACAACAACTCTGGGTCCTGGGTAACAGGACGCAATTCCTACGAAGGGCTGCAAAACCCAGCTCGGCGCGCATTAGCGCCTCCGCAAAGCAGCTCGGCGCGCCCTGGAATCTCCGCCGTCGCCCCGCCGTTGGGGTGGCGCTTGGGAAGAAGCCCTGCCCGCCGCCGCTTCCTCCTCCTCCTCCGGAGACGGCTCGGGAGCCTGGCTGGGCGGCGAGAGACCTTCCCCGGCGCGGCCATGGCGCCGGACAGGCTCCTGCAAGCGGCTTCGCTCCGTCTCCTGGTCGCCGTCTGGCTGGGCTCCCCGAGGGCTGCAGGTGAGGCTCCAGGCCAGCCTCTGTGAGTAGTTGTGTGCAGCTATTCCCAACCGCAGCTAAATAACTCTTTTTTATCAGCTACTAAAACCAAATTAATCTTTTTTTGTTGTTCCATTTCAGCATTGGAAAGCCACTGACATTCAGGTTTTTTTTTTCCAATGGTCTTCCATTGGATTATGCTTTTAATAAATGTGTTTATGAAACTCTCTCCCCTCCCACAAGAGTGCTTAAAAATGTGGGGATGATTCATAATAACATGAGAAAACCACCGTTTAAACCAGGACATGTACAGAAGCTGCTAAAACTTCCCTATGTTAAATGCTCTTGCAGTGTCTCTAAAGCAGAAGTGAAGATTTTTGGGAATTGTAGCCTCTCTTGTCTTCTCAATAGTCTTTTTTCCCTTTCCTTCCCTTTCCTTACCATAGGGCAATTAGATGAGATGATTAGGCTATCAAAATCAAATCCAATTAACTCTGTGCATTGTCTTCTTCGAAGGATGTTGTTTGTTTTTGGCATTCATAAACGTTTATGCTTCCTGAAGTTTAGGGAATTAATCTTTGAAAGTATTCAGTATACGGTACTAAACCACTGCTACCTTTTTTGTTTAAGAGGGGTTAACAGGCTAAAATGACCTGCTTTGCGCTTCCACCGTGGTCCTTCTTCCTCCCATTAGGATCGGCTGCTGGTGCTCAGAGACCTGTCCATGATTTTCAGCCCGGAGGCTTAAATATCCTCTTTGTGATTGCCGACGACTTGCGCCCTGCCCTGGGGTCTTATGGGGACCCCCTGGTGAGATCACCCAACATCGATCAGCTGGCCTCTAAAAGTGTGGTGTTCCAGAATGCTTTTGTCCAGGTAATTGATGTCATCTTCATTATTTATTTAATTTTTGTGGGAGGGGGCGTCTTGGTTGTCTCTGCTATCTGAGCAACATCACAGATCAGGTTTTCCTCCCTCCCTCCTTCTCTCTCTCTCTCCCTCCGTCCCCACCCCTCTCTCTCTCCTTCCATCTCTTTTTCTCTTTTTCATTTCCTCCATCCCTTTCTCTCTCCCCCTCCCTCCTACTCTCCATATCTCTATCTTCACCCCTCTCTCTTTCTCCCTTTCACCTCTCCCTCTCTTTCTCTCCCTCTCTCTCCCTCCTTACATCTCTCCCTCCCTCCCTCTGTCCCTCTCTCTCCCTTCCTCTGTCCCTCCATCTCCCTCCCTCTCTCTCTCCCTCCTTCCATCTCTCTTTCTCTCTTCCCCTCCGTCCCTCCATTTCTCTCTCTCTCTCCCTCCATCTCTGCCTCCCTCCCTCCCTCCCCCCCTCTCTTTGTGTGTGTGTGTATGTTTGTGTCTTTTTTTGCCTCCAGCAAGCCGTCTGCGCCCCAAGCAGAGTCTCCTTTCTCACGGGCCGTAGACCTGACTCCACCAGGCTGTATGATTTTAACTCGTACTGGCGAACACACGCAGGAAACTACACCACGTTGCCGCAGTACTTCAAGGAGAATGGGTATATCACCCTGTCCGTTGGGAAGGTTTTCCACCCAGGTGAGCTTCCCAAGACATGGGGGGGAGTAGTGGGGGGGTGGCTTCCGTATGAAAGTGTTCAATATCCAGATCCAAAAATTGGGGCCAAACTCTGTTCTGGCTTCCGTTTCTCAGGCATCTCCTCAAACCACAGCGACGATTATCCGTACAGTTGGTCCATCCCGGCTTTTCATCCGTCTTCTGAAAAATACGAAAACACGAAGGTAGACGGGCACGACGGTTGTTGACAATCAGCGGTCACTGATCATACAAGTTGTCCTCGACTTAACGACCATAATTTCTGTGGCTAAGGGAGACATTTGTTTAGCGAGATTTGCTCCATTTTCCCACCTTTCTTGCCCCGGTTGTTCAGAGGATCACTGCCGTTGTTTAAGTTACTAAAATGGTCGTTAAGCGCAACTGGCTTCTCCCATTGACTTCGCTTACTTTTTTATTTATTTTATTACTTTATTTTATTTTATTATTTTATTTATTTTATTTATTTTATTTTATTATTTTATTACTTATTATTTATTTTATTTTATTTTTATTTTTATTATTTTATTGGAAAATTTATATTGCCGCCCACTCGCAACACGGTGACTCAAGGCAGCTGACACGGATCCAAGAATGCCATGTAAAAGCAGCAAAGATAAGAATAAAAATAAAATAATAATATAGATCGTCAAAAGAGAGGACGGTGAAGTCTTTTTTTTTTTCTTAACCTGTTGCTGGGCCAACCTTGAGAGTTGACTTTTCCGCCACTGATTTGAAGAAGTGGTGACAATTCCTTCGCCGCTGGAGTAAGGAGTAGTAGAGAGGGGGTAGCACTTGCTCTCTCCTGCCTCTTACTGCTTTTCTCTCGCCTTGTTGAGCTTGCCCTGGCCCAACAACCAGATTTCTTTATGCCGGTTGCCTTCCAGGTTTGCAAAGGGAAAGACGGAAAGCTTCACGCCAACTTGATCTGTCCTGTGGATGTGGCCAAGATGCCTGAGGCTACTTTGCCGGATATTCAGAGCACCGAGGAGGCCGTCCGTTTGTTGAAGACTCTGACAAGAATCAAGAGGACGTTTTTTCTGGCTGTCGGCTATCATAAGCCCCACATCCCATTCAGATACCCTCGGGTAAGTGACATTTCTCTTAGGTGGGTCTTCAAAAAGATCGCTCCTAGAAGGGTCTTGAAAAGAAAGAAGAGGTTGGTGCTGAAGAAGTCAAAAGGACTTGGCTGGTTGATTATCTAAACCAGGGTTTCTCACCCTTGGCAACTTAAAAGATGTGTGGACTGAAGAAAGATTGTGTGGATTGAAGTCCACAATCTTCAGTCGGCAGAAGTGAGAAACACTGATGCAACGTATACATCATAGAGGGTTTGCTGTATTTTTATGGCTGGCTAAATTTCCCCCCAAAATCCGAGCATTGTGTTCCATAGAGTCATCAACAACTGGGAGAAAAAAAAATGGAAATTGGGTGAGGTTCCATGAGTAGAATTAACACTTTCACTGGTTGAGTTGCCTAAGTTAAAAGAAGTAGATGTAAGAAAATATCTCTTGCTAGGAAAATATGTATTTATTGTAAAAGTAACAGAGCCCAGCCTGAAGGATAGAGACTCGTTAGAAAGCAAATCAAATCTAACCTCTCCTCTCTAGAAATTTCTCAAATTATATCCCTTGGAAAACGTCACCTTGGCTCCCGATCCAGCCGTTCCTAAAGGACTTCCTTCCGTGGCCTACAATCCCTGGATGGACCTACGGCGGAGAGAGGATGTGGCAGCCTTGAATCTCAGTTTCCCTTACGGGCCCATCCCAGAACACTTCCAGGTAGAGTTGCCGAAGCCCGTTCTGTCACATTTCCATTAGATGAAAATGGAGGGTCTGACTCTGAAAGACACTGGTGGGATAGGGAGGTGGGTGGCCGATCTCCTGTTTTTCTCTTACAGGCAGTCCTCAACTTACAACGGTTCATTTAGTGACCATTCAAAGTTACAACGACACTGAGAAAAGGAACGTATAACTGTTTTTCACACTTAGGATCATTGCAGCGTCCCCAGGGTCACATAATCACAACTTGGATGTTTGGCAACTAACATGTACTTATGGCTGTTGCAAACGTCCCCGTGATCACGTGATCAAAATTTGAGTGCTTGGCAACTGGCATATATTTATGACAGTTGCAATGTCCCGGGGTCACCGTATCGCTTCTTGCAACAAGCAAAGTCAATAGGGATGCCAAGTTCACTTAACAACCGGGCCACTAACTTAACAAGGGGTGGCAAGAAAATTTGTAAAATGGGGCAAAACTCACTTAATAACATTGCTTT